TATGGCTGAGAAGAATTTTTCTATCTTCAGACTGCTGCTGTCCAAACTGTGTGTGGAAGCAGAAATCAAAGCTGGCCTCTTGAACCAAGAACTGTTGACTCAAACTGCCAGAATGGGAAACTACCAAAGTAAAATCAAACTATGGTCTTACACCTAAAAAAAGGAGAAATACCTCTTTTTCCATCCCAGACCCCCCTTTATATTACTCACACTTGAAGGAACAATATAAATAAAAAGGATTATGACAGTAAAAAATCCCCTTAATATGAACACTGAGCTATCAGTAATTTCTGATTCCTGCTGAGGGTTAAAAGCAGTCCTTACAAAAGCCACAGTGAGTCACCTTTAGCACCTTTGGTCACCTTTAGCACCTTTGGTCACCTTTGGCAGGCTGCAGACTCCTCCGGGCAGAGGGTGGCAGCAGATCCCACCAGGAGCAGCTGCCAGGGCACCCTTGGCAGGGGCAGCAGCAGGAGCAGGAGCTGCTCCCAGGCAGGGGCCAGCTGGAGCAGGCAGCTTTGATCAGAGCCCTTCTTATTCTCAGGGTGCTAATCCCCAGATACAGAAAATCGATGTATTTTAAAATTTAACTCTTTGTTAACAAACTAAATAAAAGGGATGGTGTACGGCAAGTGTAAGCAAATACTCCTGTAGTTAAGCTACTACAGGAATCCTCAGAGGGTGAAAATAGACTCTTTACCACAGAAATAGGTTCTTTGGTGCTCCTGTCTCAGTGTCTAGTTTCTGTGTGGTGCTGTTGAGCTAACAAGTGAGAAAAAACAGCTGATCTGTGGTCTCCATCTTAGGCAGTGTCTGGGAATTTATCCTTCCACTGCTCAGTGGAGCATTTGCTGTTCAAAAGAACTCAATCATTTTCTCATTGAGTTACCTCATGTATCTATCTGGGGAAAAGTAGACCATGATATGCTGTTTTAATTACATTTTTTTTCTTTTTTTTTTAATTTAAAATACAAAGGGTAGATGTTAATGCTCGTTGTACAGCTTCACTTTGCATTCAGCCTAAACCTGAAGCTTGGACTGGAGCTCTTACTCCAGACACAGAATTAATTCAGTGTAAATCACTGACAGGTGAGAGTGCTTAGACCTTTTTAGTAACCCCTCCAAATATGAGCAGTATCACAGAAAAGCAGAAACAAAACTCATCTGACTTCAGGTGAAACCCCAGGGAAAGCCCCTCAACACCTTGATATGGTCTGGGATATTAACTGAGCTAACAGGACTGAAAAAATTAATATGGCTCATATAACTAATTAAATACCTGTTAATATATACAAAACCACTGCCATTAACTGCTCATCTGTCTTGTTACACTAGAGCAGATCTTTTACAAGAATGGATGAGTCTTGATTTTTTTCCAGACAGAAAAATCTATCAGATGTCAGAAACATCCCATAGACTGTTCTAGTAGGAAAAAAAAAAAAAAATCTATTACGGTTTTATCCTGCTTGATTTCCAGACACTGAAAAACAGTCTGTCTGCACAGTTAGATAAACAGATTGTTGCTGACTGTATAATCTTATCACGGGTTGTTTTTTACTTAAACAAGTTTGTGTTTTCCCACATCTTATTTTAGAAGTGCCAACATCACAGGATCAACAAGAGGGCTCTGGTTGTGCACAACAGCCTTTCAAACTTACCATGCTCAACAGCCATGAGGGAAAGCTTCCTGCCTGGTCACCATCCAGCTGTGAGAATGTGCTCCATGTGCTGCCCACTAAATCCTTTCCTTATTTACTCTCTTCAAAATTCAATGAACTGCAATAATCTGGGATGAGCTGTTGGTTAACTAACCTGCTGATATTAGCCACATGTTGCTTAAATAAGGTCCTTTTAATGAGCACTTCACATCACCATTAAAAGGCCCCGCATTTAAATTGCCCCTCATGTTTTTTACAGCAATTACGGACTTTTTGCCGTCTAGAGGTTGATTAGAACTGGATGAGGAGCTGCCTCATGCAGCACCTGCTTAGTGATGCTCCAGGGCACAAAAAAAGACAACCAGATCCATGATCCCTCTAGGCAACAGCCTTTGGGGTAGATTATTAATAATTATTAATAGTGCTTATCTATGTGAAAATGATTTTAAAATACCCCTGCAACCTAGCTGCTTGCCAGTCTATGTACTTCAGAGCTTCTAGAATTTTTAGTAACTTTTAATGTTTTGCAGAATTAAGCTGCGTGTTGTGTCACCATCAGCCAAAGTGGTGCTGCCAGTGTTTTCTCTCAGATTATACCAATTGTGCTGTTAATTCAAAATATTGCAATACTGCTTTCATGCGTCAATCTTCCTCATTATTTTGAGCATTTCAAGGAGGCAATCTGTAATTATTTAGCCTGTTTACTGTTTTTGAGATATCCACACCCCTTGCTCTCTGTTTTTGGTAATTCCCTCTGATGCTGACATGGCATGAGTTTCATAGCTATATTTTATATATTATCTATACTTAATATAGCTATATTAGCTATATTTCATATATTTTATAGATATATATCCATATAAGATGCATTGTTCCCTCAGTCTTCTGATCTCACCTTTTTGCCTTTTGATCTGTTAGAAGTTCTTGAAGATTCCCTCCTGACACGGTTAAAAATTATGTGCCTATAACTAAGACATGCAATTTCATTTGAGCGTTGTATTTTTTGCTGGAGGTAGCAGAGGAAATGTGCCTTTGGCTCATGGGTTTTATTATGTGGCATGGCCTGGTTAGCCCAGCCTCACTCTACATGTGAACAATGGGGACTTTTCCATAATATCCCACCTTTACATGGCACACAGAGCTTCTTACCAAGAGGGTGAGCCCCACTCTGGCCTCTGAGGCTGATAGCAAAGGTTGAGAAATCTCCTCAGCTAACTCTTTTAACAGTCTCACCTCTGACAGTGAAAGGTTTTTGCTTCTTTGCAGTCTCTTGGCTGTGGTTTAGTGTCTCTAACTCTGAAAAGAAAAGATCCAGGTTTGTTGACCTTGGTGAGACAGCACCAAGTTGCAGACACAATTTAAGATGAAGAATTCTGGGAGGAAGATGCTCACAGATCCAAATAATGCTGAGATAATTTTTTCAAGTATTATAACTAGTCCAGAATGTGCATCTGTGCTCAGACACTCATCCAGGCATCCATGTTACTACTTAAAGCACTAAAATAAAGCAACAGACTCAAAAATAGTTCAAAGTGGGAATAGTTTCTATCTGTTTCCTAATTTACAGGATTATCATAGCTGAAGGAAGGGAGGAGGAGAAAATTTGACTTTTAAAAAAATATAGTGCAAATAAGAGTTACTAAAACAAATTCTTTTCTGGTATTCTAATGTAAATGTAAAGAAAATGGGTTATGGAAGGAAAGCCTGTATTTTAAAGAATTATTCACCAACTACAGGCTTAATATATGGCCATAGGAGATAACCCATGAAGCTGATTTTTCTGTCCTTGTTTCGTTCTGAACTAGAGTAGGATATATTTATTTATCTTAATTTCTTTATTTGCCTTTTGTGATTTAACCCCAGCCAACAAAATTAAATACCATGCAGCTGCTTGCTTACCTGACCCCCACAGAGGAGGAGAATTGAAAAAAATTGGAAAAAATTGAAAAAAGAAAAGAAAAAGGTAAACCCCATGGGTTAAGAAAAAATTAATAATTAGAATAAAATAAAATAGAATAATAATAATTGCAATGAAAAGGGAGAAAAAAAGAAAGAGAAACAAAGCCTGACAAAGACAACTTTTTGATGCCTGATATGGTTGCTGACTGATATCCAGTCTGTTCCTTAACAACCACTGGTTCCTCCTGGCCAATTCCCTCCAGTTTAAATCCTGGAAATGGCATTCCAGGGAAGGGAAGATCCCTTTGGCTAGCTTGGGCCAGCTGTCCTGGCCATGCTCCCTCCCAGGTCTTGTGCAGCTTCTTTCTCACTGGCAGAGAATGGGAAGCCGGAAAGTCCTTGACTTGGGGTAAACACAATTCCACAACCAAAACATCAGTGTGTTATCAACGTCATTCTCCTACTGAATCCACAACACAGCACTCTTCCAGCTCCTGAGAAGAAGATTTTCTCTCTCCCAGGTGAAATCAGTGAATTTTCCTGGCCCTATGACAGCTTCATAGTTGGTGGGTGGCAGTGTCCTCACCAGGACTGATCCACAAACAGGAATTCTCCGCATTGCTTTGACACTAATACAACATCAAATACTGAGTGAAATGTGGATATCTCTCCTTTTTTATCCCAGTGTGCACTTTAGCTGGGTTCTTCCTTTCTCTCATGGGATGTGACAGCTCATTTCTATGGGAAGTGTCCTCCTTGGGAGGCTGTGGGAGGGTCCCAGCATTGTTTTTACTCCGGGGTGCTGATGCAGTTTGACATTTTTTGCTGTTTTTATGATGCTGACACCTGAGATAGGAACATCAATCTTTGTGTTCACCCTGACCACAACTCCTGCCTTATTCCCATATTCATAAAGCTTCAGATTATTTTCATTATGTTTGTTTAGTTCAACATCCAGTGGTATTGAGCCCAGTGTGAACAGGCACAGATGTGCAGCACCTCAGTGCCCATAGCCTCTGACACTCACCTGGGAGGACAAAGATCTGGGACAGGACTCTGGCTTTCCAAATTCCAGGCCACTCTTATGCAGTGCCCCTCCTCATGCACCCCACTGGAGAGGCAGCAGGGTACCTACAGTCACTGCTGGGACACAAATGATGGGATAAGGGTTTGTTCTGCCAATATTGTGGTGAAGGATGAAGCCTACCTTTCACCATGTGCTCAAAAATTCTGGTTGCTTTAAAGGATATCCTTGTGGACTCACCATCACCTTTTCCAGTGCAAGCTTTCCTGAGATTTTTTTCACATCAAACACCTATCCTTTGCACTCCCCACCCCAAATATAATTAATATCAAATATTGACAAAGCACAAAAATGTCTTAGTTTCAGCTAGAAAATACAACAAATTAAAAGGAAAAGCCCCAAGTCACCTGGTCTTTTAATTAAATTTAATTTTATTTTTCCCAAGCTGTCTTGTCATAGCTTTTTAAAGTATAAATCATACGTATCTTGCATAATTTTGTTATTACATCATAAAGTGCATGGAATTATTTAGTACACTGAGTACTAGCAAGTAGCAAGAAACTGCTGCAGATCTAAAAAAAGCTCTATTTTCATCCCAGTTTCCTTTGGATGGTACTCTTGTGGCCTCTTTGTAAGGATAACTTCTACTGCTGGTGGTTAACGACACCTTCTATTGCTGATGGTTGCGCTGCAACAAAAGCTACTGTAAAACAGATTCCTACCCACAACACTGACATCCCAGGTGTTATGGATGGAACCCAGGAGGTGCCCAGAGCCTGTGGCTGAGTTTTCCTCCCAGCAAACCTTCCTGCTGCCCCGTGCCTCGCTGCTGGCCAGGACGGGCTCCGTGCCGGGGATCCCTGCACCTTGCAGGTGGCCAAGCCAGGTTTGTGCCGCCCTCGGCTGGAGCCATGGCAGAGGAGCTGCAGGGCAGCCTCCCCACTGCCCCTCACACCCAGGGGGACACCGAGGGCAGCAGCAGCTCTGGCAGCCTCCTGAGGAGGGAGGGAGCTGAGGGGCAGCTGCAGAAACGGGGACCGGGTGAGGGCACAAGGCACCTCCCCAGCCATAGGAAATCCCCTCACTCGGCAGAAAAAAAGGGTGAGCAGTGTTTTCAGAGCTGTTCACGTGCTAACAAATATTGGTGGTCTTTGCTTTTCGGGTTCACAGTGAAAATTGCAAGAGGGTGAACATTTTCAGGGCGGCTACTAAGATACTGCTTCACTGATGATGGATTTTTGCCTGGAACACCACTCACTGGGTAAAAGCACGGTGGAGATCTCAGTTTTCCTAAAGCCTGGTCTCCTTTTCTGGCCAGTAAGTTGACTGAATTAACTGGTCACTATTGGCAAAATTATCTTTTCTGCTCTTTGTCCCACAGGCGCCTCTCTCCCCGTTGGCTGAGAGGGTCTCATCTTGTGGAGATGACTTTTTTCGCAGAATGCAAAGGACAGCAACACTGAAGAAAATGGACACCGTGCCCAAGACCAAAGTCAGCCCCAGGTACACATACCTGAGAGAGAAATGATTGATCAGAGCCAACACACGACCAGAAGGCAGCAAGGACACATTCATCTTTTCATGAGGTAAGGCTGGGAAAGGACACTGCAGTCAAGGGGATGGCCCTGGAGAGGGGAGTTTGTCAGCTCGCCCAGGTCAGGTACAGAGTGCTCTGGGCTCAAAAAAGCATCTCGGGCATTGCCTGACCTCCACCTCAATGTGCCTCAGTAAGAACAGCACTAATATTTTTAGGGCAGTTACTCTATTTTTTAATATATAAACAGTACCAGTGGTGACAAGACCATTTGTTGGCATTTTTGCTTTGCAGGCATAATGACAGCAACAACAGCAGCAACAATAACATCATAATGTTTTATTAGCAAAAAGAGTCCCAGCTGAGATTTTGCTCTTTCCTTCAAGTTTTCAAGACAAGATGTACCCTTCTCTCATGTTTATTTTTCTTGTGGTGGGAGAAGGGACAACCTGTTCTCCCATTTTCCTCTTACCACTGTTATTCCATTCTTCATTTCTGGAGAAGCCTTTCACAGATGCAGTTCAGACAATTACTGTCCTCTAGCAATAAATTAATAAAGATAACTCTGCACTTAAGCCTCTAGATAAGCCAAGCATGTTTTGTGGCACCTTTGCCTTTCATTTTTTGATCCAGCTCCAACATGGAGAAAAATGAGGTTTAATAACTTAATTACACACACACACACACACTAAGACAACAGAGATATTGAAAGCTGAGGGAAGCTTTAGCATAAAATTGAGGTTTCAACACAACTTTTTTTTGTGAATTATTAAAAGACAATTATTTACAGCTGATACTGAAACAAGATGATCCACCCCTCCTATCCAAAAAGAGATTGAATCAAAAGAGAATGGTGAAATATGAGCATTATTGTTAGTATTGTTAGTCAAAGTTTTCCATTCAGTTTCAGATCTTTCACTCAAATTTTCCAACAGAAATTCTGCTACCAGTGCCAGGTGTAGATGTACTTTAAGAACCAAAGGTAAGGAAGGAATGGAGAAGAGCATTACCTGAGTGCACTGGAGTCATAGAGTCTGCACGCTCCTCTTCCCCCACATCTTTTGCTGCCCCATTTCAGGCAAGCGGTGTCTATGGCTACTCCAAAATACACTGGGGCTGGAATCCCCGCTGGGTGGATTGAGCAAACAGACAGAGGTGAGAAATTTACTGTCCAGGGTGATCAGTTTCGATCTAGAGGCAGGTTCACACAGAACACTCAGTAATACATTCCAACAGCAAGGACACTTGCACGCTGGCTGGGGAAGACGTGCCTTGTGCTGCCCAGGCACACACCACCCTTTCCTCCCTGTGGGAAGCCAGGAAAACATGACAAAACATCAAAAAGCCTCTGGAAGTCCCTGGAAGGAGCGCTGGCCACGGTTTGGTTTCCTTACCCTGCAGGACATCTCTGGGGAAAAAAAGTAGGAGATAATTCTCCTTTCTTGAGAGCAGCAGAGCCTGTTCAGCCTGGGCGTAGGGTGGGGATGAGAAGGGACAGAGACAGTGGGGTTTGGAGCCTGCAGTGGGGCTGCAGGGATCCCCCAAGCATCTTGAGATCCCACTGTGGCAGGGGCAAAGCTACTGCAGTCCTTGGGGCTGATGGAAAGGAAAAGCCTTTTTACATGTGCTGATGGGAACACCCTGCACTCTGTGTCACCTGGGGTGCTGGAGGAGAATGTAAGCCTGGAGAGAAAATCCTGGCCTGCAAAGGTGTAAGAGAGAAGCCAACAGCTTGGTTTGATGCAATCCCATCCAGTCCATCTAACTCTGCTCATGTAAATAAGGTGCTTTCTTCGGCTGATTTTTTTTTTTCATGAAGACTTAGAGGATTTTAGAATTTCCAGTCCATTGGAATCTCATGTTACCCCTTATTTCAGGAGGTTCTACCACAAGGCTGCAGTGAACCCCACCCCCAGGCACATCTGTAGTCAGTCACATTAATTCCCTTAGAATCTAGTGAATATATCCCTGAAAAGCAATCACAAATTCTCATCCACAGCTGTTCTTTTACACTTGTTGCTGAGTAAGGGACAAGACATAATTTTGATGTTAGCTTCATAGCCTACTGGATCACGTCTCTATAAATATTTGCCTTGTGTATTTAAATTATGCCTAGGATATAATTATGTGATTTATGAAGTACAAAGCAATTTCCTTTTTCCAACTTTTTAAAAAAAATCGTATGACATCTATTTGCAGATAGACATTGTTCTTTACAACAATCAAAGCTCAATTCTAAGAGAAATTATTAGTGAAGAGTGAATTAAAACCAACTCAGGAGTACAAATGGACTTACCAAGTACTCTTATTGCCAGGGTATAGATGCCAAGTGCAAATGATTTCAAGTGGGGTTTAATGCACCTGAAAATAATAATAATAATAAAAGAGGTGTTACCTAGAAATAAAGCATCAGGTGTATATAATTAGAACACAAATAGAAAGAAAGGAAAGGAAAGAAATGTAACCTTTTCCTCCTTAATGTCATGGACTTTGAGCAAACTGCAGAAATATGTAAAAAAGGTGATAAAAGCAGAACAGCACCTAGGAATTCTGAACATCTATATTCAACATCACATTTTAAGATGGTTGTAGATTTTCAGACGATATCAGCACTTAGGGGTGTTACTAACACAGGACAAGAAAATTGCTAGTGAAATCACCCATCCATTGGATGGCTTTATTCAGTTGACACTCCCTGAAATTCAGGATCAAAGCTAGTACAGGGTATTCAGGCACTCACTTTTCCTTGCACCCTATCTAGATGAGGATCACACCCCCTGTAAAGGCAAATCCTCCAGGCCATTCTCTGTCAGAGCACACCATTTGCATTTGGACCCTGCTGGGATGGCAGGGTGAGTCCCACGCACACATCCAGCTCTGCTGGCTCCAGATGAGCCCTGCTCCAGCCCTGGACCCTCATCCTGAGGGTGGGCAGGGATCAGCTGCCCTTCCCAGCCTGCTGGCAGCACAGTGTGTATGGAGCCTCTCAGATTTGCAGGAATCACCTCTGCTGCTCAAACCTGCTGCTCCTCCAGCACCTTCCAGACTGACTATTACAGTGCCTAATCCAGCACAAATCTGGGCATATGTTTGATTTTGGCAAGTGGCAAGTGCCAGTCACATGGTCAAACAAGGACATTTTTGGTATGTGAGGTAACATATATCAAGATGATGATTAATAAAACTTCTGTCACACTCATTCCCTTCTTCAATAATGAATATATTTAAATAAATATTCAAATAATAAAAAATGATCTGGGCTGAAATTCAATTTGTCACCGTGGATGAACATAGCACTCTGCAGATAAAGTCTCTGCTCCTGCAAAAATTAATGTAATTGGGAATATGTTCTAAAAAATAATAGAGGCATTTCAAAACGAACTCTGTTGTTCCTCACCAGGGGTAGTTTTCCACACTTTATTCTCTAATGCCCTGGCCATGGATTATCATCACACAGTATCTTGACTGTGGCTTATACAAGCAGTGCCATCTATGAGGGCATGGCTGTAAAATGATTTTGAGCTGGAAGAACGGTGTCTTGCTCCCCTGCTAGACACCTGCTACACAAGCACTCCTCAGTCCTCAACTAATCTGAGGGCATAGAAAGCAAAAAGTGGAAAATAAAACCAATAACTGGATATTTGATATGTGTTTCACAGGATTTATATCCTGCAAAAAAATATTCTCTGTCAGATGAAAAAAAAATTGTTTTATTCTTTGTATTGTCTTTGCAAGGAAGCAGGAGCTCTTTGTGATGCTGAGTGATAGCCAGACCTCTTAGGGAGATCTGAGACTTCCTTTTCACTGCCTAATCCCCTGCTATTAATAGCTGGTGCTTGAACAACAGCGATCTGAACTGCAGGGCTTTTCCCCAAAAACCTCAGGGCTTTCCCAAGTTCCCTGGCTGCTGTAATCACACTAATACCACCAAAAGGACATTTCAGAAATGACTTGGTCACCAGCTGTAAGCATATTTCAATGACCTCACTGTGCAAACCATCAGAGTAAATGTCACTAATTCTTACAGGGTTTTAGGGATTTAGCTGTATTTGTCCTCCATGGCAGGTGCAGTGATAGCTGCTCATCTGAAAACATCAGCTTGCTTAAGTGCTGGAATCTTAATAGAGATGACTGAATGCTGAATAATTTCTAGAAGTGATCATTGGAAAAAAGTACATAATGAAGCCTGCAACTTGACCTTGGGACTATTTGTGTCAAGGAAAATTTATTTTCGTTCTGGTAACAGAAGAACACTTTCAATTCAGCCAGATTTTTGGAGAAAGTCAGTCAGTGATGGATTTCAAAAAAGACAAAAGTAAGCATGAGCTTAAAGTGGAGCTGTGCCCAAAGGCCATTTGCAGTGCAGGAAAAGAATAAAAAAAGGATTGAACTTACTGAAACATGTTTTATTTAGCTGCACATCAAAGGTGGATGCCTCCAATCCAGCAGGAAAACACATAACTTCTCAGTTTCTCTTAAATGTCTCTCAAAGTAAAATAATTTTCAACAGCAATAAAAGCATTGGAGCAGAACCAATAAAACTGTTTTGCTGATTTCATATAACAATGTGGTTTAGTATTGTAACTGAAAACCTTTCTAAGCTTTTCTGACAGAATTGATTCAGCAGTAATATCCCCAAGAGCAGGTTCTTAGGGCTGAGAAGGGCAGCAGCTCCATGAGATTTGAGCTTGCAGTGCTCAGTAATGAACATCTCCCAAACACTCAATTTTTTATGCAGTGGGGACAAGAAGAAAGCAGGAGGTTGGGCATGGCTACCACAGTTTTGAGGCCCTGTGTGGTTCCAGATCTGCACATTTTCCACTATGTGCCTTATGGATAGAAGGAAGATTTGATGTAGAGGGAAGGGGGAACTGCCCCCCTGCATAGCTCTATGCCCACATTTATCCAGTGTGTCAGAAGCAACCACAGAGACCAATCTGGCACAAACCCTGAAGGCTTTGCTGCAAGCCCTACACTCATGAATTGTCACAGACATATTTTCTGAAAAATCCTTTGCTAGGATTTTTTCTCCTGAGAAGCTGAGAGGCCTCAGAGGAAAAGAAAAACAATAATTATCTGCTGCTGTGGAATGCAACAGGTGCATCTTTGTTTGGTCCATGTGAGTTGTTTCTACTTGATGACCAATTGCAGGTCCAGCTGTGTTGGGACTCTGGTCAGTCACAAGATTTTATTATCATTCAATTATTTTCTTTGCTAGCCTTCTGATGTCTTCTTTCTCTTTAGTTAGTATAGTTTTAATATATAATTTTCTTTTAATATAAAATATATCATAAAATAATAAATCAGCCTTCTGAAACATGGAGGCAAGATTCTCATCTCTTCCTTGTCCTGGGACCCTCAAACACCACCACAATGAATCATCCTCATCCTGGCACAGGGACAGCCCAGTTGTGCAGGAGCTTCAGTATAAATGGTCTAAAATGGATTACAGTGTGATTGTTCTTGGAGAGCCCTCGAGGAGAGAGAGGTGCTGTGAGGTTTTGCAGCACTCAGGGGTAACCCTGAAAGAAAAGCTGTGTGAGGAGAGCTGTGCAGCTTGTGCACACCTCACTGGCAGGGTTTGTGCAGGGCAGTGGAGAAGGATCCCCACATCAGCCATTTCTGAAAGTCTCTGTGTGAATATTTATTCTGGTTTAAGGATTGTAATAGAACTGTAACTGAAGTCCCACTTCTTTATTTAGGTTTTTCCATACAGCCTATATTCAGCCAGTACTAACACTGGCATTGTCCATGGGCTATAAAGATACCAGCAATGAGACAGGGCCTGGTCCAGAAAATTGAATTCAAAACCAAGGAGAATTTGGGAGCATGAAAACACAGCTATAATACCAAAGATTAGTTAGACTGGATTTACTCTAGTTTTGTTTGAGAAGTAGAATGTGCCCATCTGGAAATAATTTGGAAAAAGGAACTGAGAAAGAAAGGTTTCCAAAACAGAGCAGAGCAGAACTTGGAATCCAAACATTGCAAGTAGCTGACAAAAATCCAGATTAAGCACTTGTAGTATTAACTGCTTTTTGCACTTGCTAAAATTAGCTTCAAAGCTTACAGTGATGGACAAATAGTTCCAGCAGTTAAATATGCACTGAGACAAGCATTCAATAAATCTGTGATTAGGAAATAGGAAAAGAAAATCTTGTGCTAAAACAATTGTTAAAACAAGGAGAAAAATCTAGGAGCCACAAACATATGGAATATGCTATCTTGCATAGCTGCAAAACATTTCCCAATACCAGGAATACCAGGAGGGGAGGGAGTACCAGTCATGTGTCAAAACACTTTGAAAACATTTGGCAATGCCAGCAGGAATTGTTCCTCACCTTAGGAGCAGTATGTATCCAGGTGTGCCACCTACTGACAAAGTGTATGAAGTGATAACTGATATTACTAGGAAATACAGGAACATTTTGGGGCACTCGTTTCCTTTTTGACACGGTCCCACCACAGCTGAGGAGCTCTGTGAAGATTCAAAGGTTCCCACGCAGCTGCAGTTAAAAAATACCTGGAAGAGAGCAGGCAAAGTCTAGGAAAGCCTAAATGGTAGGGAAGTGGATGTTTAGGAATTGCACATTCTGGGTGGCTGAAAGTTTAAGTCCAAAGTGGGAAATGTTTTATGAAAGGAAAAGGCTTATATAATGAAGGAGAAAATTATAAAGTAAATACTGTTGATGAATCTAGCTATTAGGGTTTTTTCCAATAGTCTTGGTAGCCAAAAGCTCAAAAAAAAGAAAAAGCCTCCTACATTTTCTGCTTGTGATTTTTGCTGGAAACAGCAAAGTGAAAAAAAATTTGCAGTGTGGGTGCCAAATTGCTAAAAACCCTGAGGAGTTCAGGGCTGAAGAGGATGCTCAGTTTAAATCCACTTTGACAGACCTGGTTGTACCAGAAAGAATGATCCCAACTCACATGGAAATGAAGGACTTTATGGTATTTTTCTCTGTGCCTTGTATCAGAAAGAAAGGTCGCACCTCACACAGAAATGAAGGATTGTCTTACACCCTGTATCAGAAATAAAGATCCTGCTTCACACGGAAATGAAGGATTTTATGGTATTTTTCCTTGTGCCTTGTATCAGAAATAAAGATCCCACCTTACATGGAAATGAAGGGTTTTATGGTGTTTTCCACAATGACTTGTATCAGAAAGAAAGATCCCACTTCACACAGAAATGAAGGATTTTCTCACACCTTGTATCAGAAAGAATGATCCCACCTCCCATGGAAATGAAGATTATCTCCCACCTTTTACCAGACATCAATGTCCCATCTCACACAGCAATGCAGGGTTGCCTTACGGTGTTTTTCCCGGTGCCGTTGGACGCGCGGCAGCCGGCCAGGCAGGGGGACACGTAGGTGACCCCATTCTCCCCACAGATGGGGTCCCAGTCGTTCCTGGAGCAGGAGCAGCCTGAGTTGCACTCTGAAAACAGGGCTTGCTCGTGGTCACTCACTGCTTCAGCTCTGTGGGATAAAAGAGGAGCTGCAGAGGAGCTGCCCAGCAGAGGAACCCCCGATCACTGCGGGGTGATGCTCTCTGCCAGGAGCACCTGGCCACCCCTTCCCTCTGTAGCCCATTAAATGTTGTCTCTTCACACCCAAACAGCAGCGTAAATCCTCATTTCTCTGTTATCCAAAGGTTTTCACACTATCTCACCACCTACTGTGTGAAAGTATTTACTTTATTAAGAGTGACAACTACCAATTTATATTTGTGCATTTTCTCAGATTTTCTACGGTTTTGGTTATGCAGCTTTAACACAACTGGGCAAGTGGCACAGAAGGCAGTGAGTTACTCATGGGAAATGGTCTCTGTAGAAGTTTGCAAGGAACTGATCAGAATGGGATTCATCCAAACTGAGTGTCTGATACCTTGCACGACAGCTCTCTGTCAAATTCAGTCATCAGATACCAGTGGAGCAGCTGCTGTGAGTCAGTGCTGGAAACACCTCCCAAAAAGTTAGTTTTACAGAGTAATAGCATGGGTAAAATGTTAGCCTCAGGTGTACCTCATGGTTAATCCATGAATCCTTCAGTTTTGAGTTCAAAGGCTGTTAAACGCCATTCATTGTTCAGTGGCACACGAAGGCAAGAAACAATTAATTGAATCCCTGCCCCCCTACTGAGCTACTCACATTGCCAGGAATCACTGGGCTAATAGGATGGGTCCCATGGCAATGATAATTAAAAAGTAATCAGAAAAATAATCTGCACTTGTGACATAAACCTCACTGGTTTTTGCCACAATCATGAGAGGGTCATGACACAACAACCCAGTGGAATGGAGTGGTTTCCATTGATTTGAATCATATTTGTGGGAAGCACATTCAGGTCAGCCACTCTCATTTCAACAAGATCTACTTTGTGAGACAAAGTGAGGAAGGAGTTGGGTTTGCAGTGGCCCTTTCTGCCCTGCCAGCATACCCATGGTAGGACACAGTCAGCCCGGCCACCTCCGAGTTCCCACAGCCCATGGCAAACAAGGAGAGCAGCAAAAGGTAACCAAAGAAGGATGATCCCAGGGAAAGCTTTGCAGCCCCCACAACACCGACTCCAAATCTCTTCATGATCAGTCCTCCAGAGAATATGCCAAAGGCCACAGCAGGAATGTTAATAAGACCTGAAATCAAACAGAAAATTCTGTATTAACGAAAACCCCAGCTCGATGGGCTAACCTTGTCAGCACAAAAACAGCTGCAGCAATCAGATGAAGGAGCAAAACACAAAAGATCTTCAGTCAGGGCATTTTATTTTGTCCAGACTTAGACTGATTCTTGAAGTGTTACAAAGGTGCTAGGACAGCTTTGAAAAACTTATTCCCAAGGACATGCTTCTTTGCTGGTTCTTTGACAGAGAGATTATGGATAAAGTTTAGATAATGCTTTTCCAATTTCTTAAGCTAGGTGGTTTTTTCCACAATTAGTTTGTCAGTGGAGTCATCTGCTGATTCCTAAATTTAGTTTTATCTAATGTTACAAAAGCCAGAGCAAGACCTGCCTTTTAAATTTTTTTAGTGCTTCAAATTGCTCTGACAATTTTGAAATCTATCAGAGATTTTGATAGAAACGGTTTTGTTTTTTTTTTTTTTTTTTAAAAGAAGGAGTAAAAGATGTTGTGAAAGAGAAATAAGCACTGTGAGTCTGAGTCAGCCCTCAGACTCCTTAGGAAGGGTGGATTTGGAGAGAAAGGAGAAGGAGGAATTAAAATCACCTTATTGCAGGGACAGCCACTGAGCAGGATCCCCCCCTAACCAAGCCATCACACACTCCCTGCTGGATGTAGTCCCTGTGCTCAGAGAAATCAAATGGTTCCTAATCCGCACTCACTTTGCACATACCTGAAAGCTTAGCTCCAGAAAATCTTTAAATACAGTGAGAAGTTCTACACTGAATGTAGGGATTGTTTTCTGGACTTTCTTTGGCCATCAACTGTACTTGAAGATTTCTCCTTGCTTTGAGGAGTTTGGTGCCAGGAAATTCCAGCTTCTATCTTGAATGGAATTAACATAGCACAATGGATCATATCAGCTTTTCTGCACATATAGACCTCTGTTGCTGCGCAACTAATGCTGCTCTGGAACAAGGCAGCTCCCTCTGGGCTGGGGAGATGTAAACCTCTTTGCTGCTAATGCTATTGAAGCCCTGGACCTCTGGAGCTGAACCCCACATGCAGGTTCAGCAGCTGGGCAGTCCAGTCCACCCTCATGAAGTCGGCTATAAAAATGCTGATTTCTGTACCCAAAGACTGAAGCAGCTTCTCTCTCTTGTGCTGTAAGGGGCAGCTTGGGATATGACTTTTTTTCCTTTTATTTAACAACAATCTCTGCAGAGAGTCACCCTCAGCACTCACTGAACTGATCTTTGTTTTGTTGAAATAAATGGGAAGCCACCAAGGCAGCAGATCTGTCTGATGATAAATTTATGTGAACTGCTTTAAAATTATTTCTCAGTTATTTTCTTGTATTGTACATACATTAGGTATGTACAAATGATGTAGAGGGAAAGGGGAAGGGAAAGGAAGGGGAAGGACTTTTCAGATTTCCGGTGAAATGGGAATTAAGATATCAAATCATGTAAACTTTTACAGTAAGTCTTGCATAGATAAAGTCAGAGTTAATTGGTGCTGAAGCAGAAATGAAATAACTTACCATCTATGAGCTATTACTTAATGTCAGACAAGGAAGGAGAAGAAATTAACAAACCTTAAAAAAACCACAATTTTTCCTATATGTATATGCCACTCCTAAAATGTCCATTTTAAAGATATCAAGAAGCAGCTATAGCATTACCTATAACAAAGTTAGTTTTTGAAGATGTCTGCCCATACTGTTGTTCAATATACTTTGGCTTATATGTCACCATGCCAATCAAAGAATTGAACTGAATAATACTTGCACACAAATACAGAATGTAAACTGGATTCCCAAAGAGGTTCTTCAGCGATGGCAAGAAGTCTGCAAGACAAAACAGCAGAAATAACAAGCAGGCCAGAGAGAGGATTACTGCTGGAGTAATGCTCTGTAACATGTGTGCCCCTTCCAAAAAACCCCAAAATACAAAACATTTCAGAGGGAGTCTGTGAGGTTCCCTGATGTTCCTAACATCTCCCCCATCTGCAGGGAGGAACAGTGGAGCAAAACACTAAGCATCAATTCCCCAGAAGAGAGATCTTGTTTTAAATACCTTCTTTCCACCATAAACCAGGAATGATTTGGTTTCTCTGTGTCCTCAACAGTCACAGAACTGTTTAGCTTAATTTGGGGCAAAGAGCGCTCAGCACAGCTGACAGTAAACACAGAAATACTGAGCTGCAGATCCAAGTTCTGAGGGAAAATGCTTTTGGCCAAGCAAGGCCAAGGAAATGCAATTGTGCAGACCAGATCCTGTCTGAATCCAGACAGCTCCCTCTAATACTGAAGCTGCTCTGTGCCCATCTACATTCTGATCAGATATTGTAAATGTTTTCCTAATGCAGGAAAAAAATAATTAGCAAAAACCAAGGGCTGGGTTTTTTTTGAGCACCACTTCTGCAACAGTCACTACATGTGAATAAAACATTTTTGCAGAACTTCATGATATGTGCTGGGCCACTATTGTAATTTTACAAATCTCAGCCATTTCTCATGCAATAGCAAGTCCAGGGAACATTGAAGAGACCTTTTTGTGTGTACTATGGAGTTGGAGAGTGAAAGGGAAAAAACAGAATTCTGAGACCATTAAAATAGGGACTCAGTAAGTCTAAAATTTTAAGTCTAAAAGCCTCTGAGAGAAAATCTGAACAATCAAGAAGAAAACTCAAGCGATTTGCCTTTTGCCATCTCTGCAAGCTTCGCCTGCTGCCAGGAGGATGCGCCTTGGTCCTTGCTGTCCTCAGTGATGAACCTGGAGTGCTCAGAGGAGGTGCTGGAGTCCTTCCTGCCCTGGGGCCTGGGCAGGTGCCTGGGCAGGAACCAGAAGGGGATGCCAGCCAGGATGCTGATCAGCCCAGCTATCAGGTAGCCCAGCCACCAGGCCCCCACCCACTGCGCGTCCTTGGGGCTGATGGTGACGCTGTCTGCACAAAGGGGAAAAGGAGAAACAAATCAATGTAGGGATGTGCATCCTGTTTATGGAGTGACAAAACTGTCCTTTGTCTCCTAAAAAAGGAAAAAAAGCCCAGAAGTTTCTCTCCTCAATTAGGTAAAAGGACATCTCATAGGACCTGGCAGTCACCTCAAAATTAAGGATAGCCAGTTGGACAGGAGCCAAAAAGTTCTGCCTAAGCAATTTACTAGAAAAATAAGAGAACAAAGGAACTAATGGCTTTTGTAGGGTGTTTTACCAGGAGCAAGAACCTCTTGCCTCTGGCTCGCTTTTTCTCTGTAAAAAGCTTTGTTATTTTGCCTCTTATTAAAACTTTTCTGTTTCCAACACTGCCACAGAAGCCAAGAAGCCATCCTGCTGATTTTAAGCCATCTGAGGGGGCTGAGATATCTCAGCTGTGATATAAATCTCCAAGAGTTCATGGAGAGCTCCTTATATCAAATAAATACATATTTATATCTCCTCCTTATATCAAGAAGACCCTTAAATAAACACATCTGGATGATATGTGCTGCTGCTAAGGAAGGAGGGTTTGCAGGGTGGTTTTTCCATCCAGGTCCAGCTGTGCTCTGTCACTGTGGGTGTTTTACAGGAGCAGCTGTGGGGACATGCTGAGGACTCACTGATTGCTGGCCCTGACACTGCTGTGCCACTTGCACATCCCCAGAGATGCTGCAAGCACCAGCACGTGGGGCAGTCCAGGTGGCCACTCACCTGCTCCCAGCCAGGCTGTTCTGCACAAAAACCCCAGGAAAAAAACCTGGTTTCCTCCTGATTTTTTATTGTTATTGTTTTCTCAGAAGAAGAGCAATCAGGAGATTTGGTGCCCCCTGCCAAACCACTTTTCTAGGCAACAACTATTAAAAAGGCACATGCAGGATCCTGAGCCTCAGCCCTGTTTCCTCCTGGCTCCCATGGTCTCCCCAGAGCCTCCTTAGCAGAGCATCTCCTGGAGGCTCCTGCTGCAGATCTGCTGGGGCTGAGGAAGAGTCAGAGCTCCTTCTTCCTCTGCCCCCATCCTCCTCGCCAGCCTATTCTGCATGGAGCCCTACACTGCTGTATCCTTCTCATTTCATGGAGTGCCCACTCTACCCCTGCTAGCCCCCCATGCCTAGCAGATACCAGAGTTCTTGGCCAAAAATAGGCATTTTGGAGCCTTTATTTAAAAACCCTGACTGGGTTTTTTAAGCCTGAGTACTCTGACTTACCCAGATCCACAAAGCCAATGTCAACGTAGAGTTTGGCGCATAGGGATCCCAGGAGAAAGCCAAATATTGGCCCTATAATTGCCACTGTCTGCACACAGCCTGGAAGGGAAAACAGGGCGCTGTTACACTCCTCAGCTAAAAAAGGGCACTGGTTCTTCTGCATCTGACAGCAGGTTATGGCACGTGATGGGCAGCAAGAGACACACATTCAAATATTGTATTGAAACACATTGAAATATTGAAAGGCACAGTTACACAAATTGAATTATTTCCAAGAAGAAAAAAAGTCATCAATAAAATTTCCCCCACTATGCTGACACTTTTTATTGTTATTCAATTAAAGAGTAACATTCAGCCTGAAGGAAAAAATGTCAGCAAACTGAATGGCCTGAACTCAACAGCAGCACCAATCTACAATTGCTAGAAATGCTTTAGCTGACAGGATCACAGTAACTGGGGAGAAAATGTCATTTTTTTAAAGTTAACTGATTGGTTTCAGTTGAGGTAGGCCCTGAACAGGCTGAGAAATCCCTTTGCTTTGGTTTCCACTGTTGATATGTTTCAATACATCCTCAGCCAAACTTTCTGAATACTTTGATTTTGAAAAAATTCACCTGGAAATCTGGGAAGACTGAATCTTTTACAGAGAGAATCTGATTTTTTGCCTTTTGCCTGGTTGGAAACTTGTTAAGAGCAGATGAGATAGGACTTTTGGTAATATTTCAGGTACAGCCATCATACAATGAACACAAAAAATGGTGATCTCAATTTCCTAAAGCTTCAGTACTATTGTTTATAATCCTACACGAATCTGGAGGGAATGTTTTGAGTGCCCACTAAAATTCTATTTTAAGTGCTTAAAAGAGAGCCTGTTTTTATCACTTTCCAGAGAACTGAATGTGCACAGAGGCTCAGCAGCCCACATCCAGAAGAATTAGGAAGATTAGGGTAACAGCAGGAACCCAAGGTCAAATTCTTTCACCAAATTAAGAAAATGGAACTGTGCTGGTATAATTAAATGGGAACTTGGTCCCTTGGGTGTACATGACTGTTAAATAAACTTTAATATTGGAAATTATGCAAACAAAACAATCAGGGCAAGTTAATTCAATAAAATTCATTCCATTATTCAGAACGACTCAGTTCTCTCCTCTGGGGAGAAATGCACGAGGAAAAAGCAATTACATTTATTTTACCAATATATAAGGCAGCATTCTCTTCGACAGCATAATCATCAATGTATGCAATTCCCAGGGGCTGGATGGGGGTTTCACCTATTCCACGCAGGAGGTTTCCAAGCAAAACATAGATCCACATGGAGGAACCTGCTTCCTTCTCACACCCTGGGGGCACAGCAAGAGACAGCAACCATGTGTTTGCAGTGGCACTGTGACACTCAAAGCTCAGGGCTCCTAAAATACTTCTGTTGTGGGAGAAACAGTAGGAAAACTGTGAAATGGCCTAAGGTAGAAAAATTTTTAGCATGAGTTGCCTCAAAGATGGTACAATTTTCCTGGTTTTATACATTTGCCACCCCACTCCTTTTTAGAAAACTCTTTCACTGCTATCTAATGAAAACTGGGATCTCCTGACAGAAGGATTTGGGAAACATCAATGACAGCAAAGCACTACCAGCCCCAGGATTTAACAGAGACAATTCTCACCTGCATTTATTTTAGCTTGAGATTTCTCCAGGGCTGAGAGTGGAGTCTGGCTTTTATCCTGCAGACATGGAGAGAGGCTGACAGTGGAATTGATGGTGGAAGAGAATCTTTCATACCTGTATCTGTTTGGAAAACAAACTTGTATTTATCCATAAGTACTGATGAGAAAAAGCAAGCAAATCTTGAACTACCAGATAGGCCTAAATCACTAAAATGCAAATTTCATCTGCATCCATAAGAATCCATCTGGATCCATTGCCAGTGGTGCTTTACAGGGGATAAACAGAGCTCTCTTTGTACTGCAGCTGTACATGAAAATTGTCCTGTTGGTTCTTTTTGCAACAGTGATTAATTTCAGTTTAACAGGCACTTTGCTCTACTATGATACATGAATTTGGACTGAGTTTATCAGACACTGGTGTATCCTCTGGCTTGTGCTGAGATTGTCTTCCTGAGTTTAGTCTTCACTTCTTTACTGTCATTTCAACAATTCCCAAACCACACCAAAATGTGGCCAGTCAAAATCAGAGACTCATTTTTTTAAAAAAAGCTGATTACAACTAAAAAGAGTATATATGTTAAATTATTTGCTCTACAGTAATAAATTATAAAATAAATACTTATTTTTAATGATAAACAATATTTTAAAATAATTTTAAAATAAATAATTATTTGCTCTACAGTAATAAATCTTTTCACCAAAAAAACTTTAAGTAACCACATCCCCATATGCCTATTTCTATCATCATAACCAATGCCTAAATGTTTTAGTGAGTGCCATTCAGTGTGCACAGCCCAGCTGGAAAACAGGGATCACTCTGCACTTACCTTCCCATGAAGAACTGGGGCATTGCAATTAGGAATGTTCCAGCTGACATAATTAAGCAGCCTGCTCCAATTATTCTTGGCCTGTGAAGCTTTGCTCCAAAGTAGCTCACTAGAATTATGATTAGGAGGTTCCCTTCAAGAGTACAAAAAGGAAAACTGAGTTTTACTGCTTGTTGATAAGAGACCCCCTAAAATCACAATTCCCAGTTTGTAGTACAGGCACTGATTTGGTGGGAATGGCCTTTCTCCCTTTTCCAGGCATTCTGCAGGAGCCCAGTGCCTCCTGTGCTAGGAAAACCATAAATCTTTGGATAAACAGCTGGAAAAGAAGAGAAAGCCTGTGCCAGCTGAAGAGAGCAAATAACCAGAAAGGCAGAAAAAGGAGGAATCAAGCTGAGTTTTACACACTTAGGCCAAGATTTCATTCCAGTGAGTACCACAGTCCACAGAACACCCATGAGATAAATTCAGTGATCTGAAATTGTGAGACAATGACATGCTGGAAACTTTAGTGTGAGAGGGAAGGAGAGGGACTGGACAGGAAATGTAGATTACAGCTAGAGGTTTGTCCTCCTGCTGCTTAATAATGGACATAATGCTTAATAATAAGAATGCTTAATAACCTGTTCCTATAATAATGGAGATCACAAAGGACAAACACCTGTGGGAGAGGTGGATTTCTGCCTGCAGAAATCCATGAAGGAAAATTCTCAATTAACACTCAAAATGTCTATTAATATGAATTAGCCACATGCTTAGCTTATCAAATTACATTTTTTTGATGTCTATGCTGAATTGCTTGCATTAGCAACCTAATCCTAATGAACATAATCGTACTGATAGACCCACTTATTTTCACCAGGTGAATCTTGCTCAGTTTTATGTTTCAGGGAGATTCATGCAATCATTCCTCAGAACAAACTGCATCACTCTTTTTTTCCTGAAAATAAAAATGTGTTTCTACAGCACGTACCAATTTCAAAACTTCCATCAATAACACCAACCAAGGAGGAAGGGATGTCAAATCTTCTTTCTATTTGTGTGATAGTACTTTTTAGATAACTTCCTGACAGTGCTTTAGCAAAATAAACAAAAGACAGTGCACCAAGAAATATCTGTGAAAAAAAAAAGACAGTGATCAAAATCAGGCAGTACAGAAGATACATGAATTATTTTTAAACGTGTCCTGCATTCCTACCTCTTTTTTGCCAAATAGCCAAACCAATATTCCTGCTACTTTTTATTAAATGCTAGATTGCTGATTTGTTAATCTCTTACAAGCAATATTGATAAAAACTGAATTGACTCTCAAGCATTGCTAATTTCAGGTAGAGGCCAAAGTTACTGTTCTGTTGAAACACAGAAACCTGTGATATTCTCTTGTACAGTAACCATATGGGTAAATGCTAAGTGTGGCTTGGTGGGGAGGTGAGTTTTTGAACGTTTTTAAATGTGTTACATATTCTGTGAGATGAACCTGCCAGGCAACTCTCTTCTACTAATACATGCATTTTCCTCAGGGTGCACCCTGCATTTTGCACCTTCTCCCCTCCCTTTATTTTGCAGAGACAGTTTTCTCTCAGCTGTCACTGCATCTGTTTTAGCATGTCCTTCTGAATCAGGAGTGGGCCTTGGAAGTTAAACTCCACGTCCCTTCACAGTGCTTTGGTTTGTACTTCAGAGGTACAGACTGAGCTCCTTTCCCACAAATTTAACCCAAAAGATGAGGGCTGGTCTGCAGTGCCTGTGGTGGGAGTGCAGGGTCCTCAGAGTGTTCCTGCAGATCTGTTGCCTAAATCTGCCCTCACTGAATGCAGCCCAGCTCAGTTTATTTGCTCCACAGATAATCACACACAGTGGAATTGGTCATGGAAACCACAACTTTGCTTTCTACCTTCAGGTACAGGTGGTGTGGACCCAAATGAATACAAATATGGATGCTTTGTGTAAAACCCAGTCCCAGAAGTTAAGAGACACATTAAGGTTTTATTTAGAAGTCTAGAACCATGTGCAGCTCCTTAATCTTCTCTGTCAATCACACTCCCAGTAACCAGCTGCTCTGACCAATGGCCTCACATCCAGTGCAATCCTCACAACACCTCATTTGACAAGGCACAGTGGCAATAACAGCACTGCTGGATGCAAATTCATGTATATTCAAATATCTCTGTGTCACTTTAGGACTGGTTATACCTCCCTCAGAAACAGTTGTGGGTAAATAAACATTTAAAAACCCTCTCTGGGTTTTTTTTTCCTACAGCAGCATCTCTCAAAAGACTCTCCAGTACAAATACTGTCATAATATTTTACAATTTCTGTATTTTTATGCCCTTGGATTTTAAATAGCAATGTGGTAGCACATAAGTTTTTTTCAGGAAAATTGTATAGTTAAACTACAACTTGAAATGCTTCTGAATGTCTTTGGAACAAATTTTTTTACTGGGTTTGCTTCTGTCCCAGGTGTGCAGTGGTGGAAAGGCACTCCTGAGCTGGGCCTGGGACAGAAAGGTACACATGATTTCATTCATGATTTCGTTCTTCTCTGGTTTGTCAGGGCTTGTAAACACATATTTCACCACATCTTTCTGGTTAATGAAGGCAATTTTAAGACATAGGAAGGCTGATAATTGGTAAAAACAACTTGTTGTATCTGTATATTGTTTTCTTAACACATTAGGCAAAACCTGAAGCAGACTTTTTTATGACTTGGAGATATCTTTAATAATTTTCTTCTGACTCAGCAAGACCTTATCAGAACTCCAAAAGGGTTAGTTCACCAAAAAAAGAGAGAGGGCTTCTTCCTACAAAAATGCATTAGTAATATCAGTTTGGGTTCCTAGAAGACACAACTTTAAAGAGAAAGAAACTGAGCTGAAATAATATTGCTTTTCTATTTCTGGAGCTAATAAACTGATTCCTGACTGGCTAATGTGTGACTGAAGTTTTATTCATTGAAAGGATTGGGTTATCATTGTAGCAAATGGAGAAGCTGTGATAGAATTATATTATAATTATGTTATGGTACAAAATTCATTTAATAACAACTCATCTTTCATTTCAAAACAAAACCATTTAAAATTTATAGACTTCAGGGCAACTATTGCTCATTTCACTGACTGGAGCTGGATTAATACCTGGAAGAAGATGAGTGTTTAAGTGAGGGGACAAAACAACAGAAATAAAGACTGTGCACCATGAAAAGAACGAAGCAAGGCCAAAAGCTCATTTTTTGTGTAACTCAGATCATCTCAGCATTGCATGGTGCTGTTGAGCCCTCACCCAGGAGTGTCAGGAGAAGGAGCAGAGGCAGCAGCAGAGCCCTGTGCTGGGGCTGTGCCCCTGTCCCGAGCAGGGAGGTGCAGCTCCCTCCAGGCAGGCACAGAGCAGGGACCTCCCTGCTCCAGGAAAAACTTCCTGGGGGTGAGAGAGGTGTGGAAAAAGCGGTAAAAAAGAAATAATATTTCTGCAGTTTCATTTCAGTCACCTCATGCAGAGGTCTCTTGAATGAGGAGCATTACAATCATGCTTTAATAACACAGCACACAAAACACACAGACCATAACACAATATTAGTTTGGAGAGCCCAGCAGAATACCATGGCTGCTGTCTTAAAAAAGCAACTATCTTAAAAAAAGCAATCTGCACTGACAGCTGCTTTTGCTGTCTGTCTGTCCTGCTCTCAACTTCAGGTGGAGCAATCAGGAAGACAGAGGGACCTTTTAGGATGGTTCTTGAAGATCTCACAATATGCAAGCCTCAGCCAACAAATTATATTTGATGATTGCCAAACATTAGCCAAATACAGATCTGCAGATTTTCTTGTGACCTAGAAATGTATCTAATAATTTCATTCTGACTCAGCATGACATAATCAGAACTTAAAAAGGGATCATTCATTAAAAAAGAAAAAAAAGAGAGATTTTGTAAGTCCCTACTGGAATATTCAAAAGCTCTTACTCTACCTTTATACCTCCACAACACGCCTGCTTTTCTTTGGATGCAGATGATTCGGATTTGAATGAAGATCGGTCCACGGGCATGATTGTGTTGTTTGAGAAAAAGTGAGTATTTTCCTTGGATGAAACCTCCATGATGGTATCCTCTGCCTCTAAAGCAGAAAACATGGAGAACACTTTAAAAGGGCATCCCATTAGCTCAGCCTCAAAAGCTCATCATGTGACAGCAACACCCCGCTGAACTGTTTTCCCAACAACAGCAATTACCAAACTTTACAACAGAATCTGACCAGCGCACTGGATGTTTAATTATGGAAATTTGCAATCCACTTGCCTATAATAATGGAGATTAAATCATACTCAGCAAACAGCCATCATCTTCGCTCTCTGGCTATCATCAATGTGATTTCATTAAGCATTTGGACAAGCACTGCCAGCAGACTGAACAAGGCTCATTAACATTTTAAATGACATTTCTGAAGGCTACATGTAAATTCATGTTTCTGGATGTGACCAGGTCTGCAGAGATTTCTCAGCACTGATCTCTGAATTTCCCATATATGTGGGACATGAAGTAATTAGATCAAAGGAAATCTATCCCCCTTAATGAGGCACTTGAATTGTTTTAGATGGAAACATTAGCTCTAATCGTCTGATTTCAGCTAATGAGTTACACAAGAATAAAGAGGTTTAGTTTCCTTTACCATTTTACATAGAGTCTTAGGGCTCAGTGGTCAATTGTTTCAGGGAAAATGTGAATTTGCTTCTTTGCAGGTAAATACAAAGAAGTAAAGAAAAACTAAATACTGCAATTTGAAAACAAAAGGTATCAGCAATTCTTAAATCTCCAGTTACATACTGCGCTACTTTGTTCTTAATTTCAATCTCTAAATCAGATCTGAAAATATTTATGAAATCAGCTTCTGTGTTCACTTTTAGGCAGTCCTGTGTTTTACAGAACTGCTGCCTGAAAATATGAATAGGAAAAGTTCCTGTTCTCTCATGTTTGCCTGAAGAAACATCTCACATAAGTTAAAATATGTATGGTTTTATGTCTATACCTCTGGATGCAAGTGTTTTCATAGCTTCCCAAACAGGCACCTGTTTTACCAGAAATACAGGTGAAAATAACAGAAGTATATCTTTAGATGCTAAGATTTGCTTATAGGCTCTGGTCTTATATCAACAAGACAAAAGGACTTTGCTTATGACACCACAATTTTCACCAAGATCTCTCCAACATTTGAAAAAAGTGCTGTGACTACATATAAGAGAAATGTTTGCAATTTCACACTGTCCTGACAGGAACTCTAATACCTTTCCTTATCAACACTAAGGAGTATAGAGGTGTTTTTGCAATAAAAAAAAAAAAAAAATTGTGCTTGCTGAACACTTATTGCATCTATTCCTGTTCTGCTTCTGATTTTCTTGCTGTCTTGAGAAAAGTCACACTTTTGAACCTGAACCCCACATTTGACCCTGTGCAATGGGGAAAACCAGCATGTACCTCGCAGCATAAATCCTTTTATGACAATCACATGAGGTGTGCTGTCATGGAAGCACATCAAATAGCCTCTACTGCAAGGTTTGAAATGTTCTGCATATTTAGAGCAAATTTGGAATGAAAAAACCCCAAAACCTGGAAAAGGAAAACATATGCATCACACATCCAGGATTGGTCAGAACACAAAAAAATTGCTGTGGTGGAATATAATAAACTGATGTTTGACAGCAGCATGCAAGCTCGTGTTCCACTGAGCTGAAAGAAATCTCAAATGGACAGCAGAGCTTAAACAACACTTATGCTCACGTTATTACAGCAGAAAATTTGTTAAATTTTATTGTCTGACTGTCAAATTGAAGAGTGGAAGGAAGGCCTGATATCCATGCAGGTTTTAATATATCCCCAGGTATACATATATAGATATCTACAGGTTTTAATATATCGCCAGGTATATATATGTAGATATCTATAGATTTTAATTTATCCCCAGGTATATGTATAGATATCTGCAGGTTTAATATATCCCCAGGTATATCTATATAAATATCTACAGGTTTAATATATCCCCAGCTGCTCTTGAGGCACAGCTTTAAGGATGTTGGTAGTTTCCAGAGCCACCTGCAGCCATGTATCTGAGAGCATCAGTCTGGTTGCTCTGACAATGCCTCTGATGGAAACTTTTAACACAGGGCAGAGCACAGAGAAATGTGCCCAGCTGAACCCCAGCCAGCTGCACTGTTGGTTTTCATCTCTTTGGTGCAACCAGATCACACAGGACTGATTCACTGTAATCACAGATTTGCCACTCAAATTCTTTTGGCACCGTTGGTGTTACAGTGGGATTATTCCTAATAGACTCAATTTCAGTGGGAGGTGAGGGACATCTCTGGTTCTATCCAAGGATGGCCCCAGGTTGTCACCGTACCATATTTCTCTGGTGACACAGAAAATGAGGACAGAGAATGTCTAAACACTTCCTTTCCAAATATGGCAGGAATGCCAGAAAAAGGTAACCATAGAATCATAGAATTGTTTGGGCTGGAAAAGACCCCTGAGATCATTGAGTCCATCTGTAGATCCAGCACTGAGAGTCCACCACTAAACCCTGTCCCTGAGTGACCCATCCACCCACCTCTCCAATGACAAACCAGCAGTCCATCAAATTTCTCTTCTTCTATAAAAGAATGCAATACAATAAGTTATTTACAGAAAGTGTGTGAGAAAGTTCGTTACAAGAATGTCAACATCAGAACGCTTAGAAAATCTTAGAAAATCAGGGTGACACACTGCAGCACTCCAGATGTGTGAGCAGCTGAGTGACACTGCCTGAAGGACAGCTGCTGGCCACGCTCACACCTTGTCCCTGACTCCCTGGGCCCACAGCTGGGGCTCGGAGCCCCCCTTCCACACCTGCCTGCAGCTGTGGGGCTGTGGGAGCCCTCCCTGCTCTCCTTCCCCCCAGAAGCTCCCAGGGGCTCACCTGTGGCACAGCCTGGTGGCACTCACGTCCTGAGGGCTGGCATGGGCACCTGTGCTGAGGGTCGGCTCCAGGGACAGCCCTGCCCCTGAGCACAGGCTGGGGCACCTCCAGGAGCGCCCCTTGGCTCATGCAGGGTGCAGGAGTGAGAGAGAGAACATCCTTCCCCCTCTGGGAACCCCTCCACCCTGCAGTAAGCCTCCTTAGCCTTAGGCACAGGAGCTGCACTGGCTGGGCACACGGACAGCTCACCCATGAGCCCAGCTGAGAGACATCCTCTACGAAAAGTTGAGCAGCAAAGAGAAGAAGAAAAGCCAAATCTTACCTGGCAGCAGGAATCCCCAGAGATGGTGCCCGCCAGTTTTCATAGGTAAGCTTCCTCTGCTGCTCATGCAAACCCACACTTGCATGCACAGAAAGGGGGAAAACTGGAGGGGAGAACCTCCTCTCAGAAATGACCCTGTCTGTGGGTGTGCATCTTATTCTGGAGGTAGAGAGAGGAAGAGAATGCAGGTGGGGGAACTCGTTTTGTCTCTTGTTTTGCCTGAGCATTTGCTCTTTGTCTGCCCCCCATCCTCCTGCCCCACCTGCTCAGGTTTTTCTCCCTCTGTCCCCTCCTATCAGTTCCAGGACAGTGGGCACACCAGCTCAGCAAAGGGGCTGGGTGCCCTGGTGGGAAGCATGAGGAGCACCTAAACAGCTCCCAGGGATAGTTTTCTTTGCAAGTTGCTGTAAGTTTGAGGGGGCACGTGACAAAGCTTTGTGGAGAGAAAAAAACCATAAAAACCAAAACTCTGATCTTATTAATTGCTTAATTCCAGGAAACAGAAGAATTCAAGGGGGAATGGGCTTGGGAAAAAAAAAAAAAAAAGAAAATGGGGAGTGTGTGAGAGAAGACAGGCTTGAGGGTGGACAAGAGATTCACAAAAACTTATCCAGTCCCTGGTCCTTCCTGTTCTGCCCTGATGCCCAAAATCCACAGGGCAATGTCCCTGTCAACATGAAAAAAACTCCAACACAAACAACAAGAGGGAAAAGACCCATTAAGGGGGAGGACAGAATGTACGGCAGAGTCAGTGAAGTCCTTTACCAGAAGGAAAGGAAAAGAAAGTTTTGAAGATTTCATTCCCACCCAGAGCTTTTCCTGCCACAAGGTCACAGCTGCTGAAATATTAATTTTAAAGTTTAGGTAAAGGTGAGGAATGTGACTAGCTCCCTCTGTAGTTTGTTGAGCTGAGAGAGGCTGTAAATCCTGTCTTCTGCTGCCCTGTAGGGTTTGATTATACAAACAGAAAAGTATTAAAGTTAAAAATTCTTCTTCCTTTTCCCCTCTTATTCCCTCCCACCCTCTGCAGTACAGCAGGTTCCCATGGCAGCTAAAACCTCACTCACACAGCCAAACACAGAGTAGGCTTCTGCTTTCCTAGATTTAATACAAATTATTATCCTTCCCTTCATTACTTCTCTATTTTGGGCTCTTAATGTGTCTGGAATTTAATTACACTACACCTAATTCACATTTTGTACTTTAAAGTGTCTTGTATCCTTCTCTGCTTTGGAAACTTGGAAATCTATTTTCCCCTTTTCTAAGAGATATCAGGGTGCCTAGTAGTCCACAGTAATTAGTGATTAGGGGACTTAGTTATTATGAGCTCTTTCAGCCTTTTGAGGAGAACAGCTTCCAGGCCATTTCCTTCCATCATTAGGAAAACTGAGTTTACACAATACAGGACCTGTGCTAGTTTGGCATGACCTTTAATCTTCACTGCTGACCTTGCTGCTTTCAAAGATTTCTGACACAGATTCCAGTTATTCTGCCACTGGTAACCTTTACCACGCTGTCCTTTAAAACAAGTGAAGTTTCACTATCAGATTCCTAAGTTTGTGATAAAAATCCTCCTAAATTATGCTACAAATGGTATTGATAAGCACCAGAGCCTTGTCCTCCATACTCCCAGAAAAATACCTACAGACTGGTTTTATGTCCTTTAGAAAGCAGCAGTGCTTTGAAAGGCCCACAAGATTTAGTGCAATTGTGTCATCTTTCTTGGATTTCTGGTTCATTGTTAAACCTCAGTATCAGGTTTTTACCACAGCTGGTCTTTTATTGAAATTTTGTTACAGAGTCGTCTCTGACTTCTTTATAGGTGGTGATCTTAACTGGAACTTCCTCAAAACCCCTTGGGGGAGGTATTTTCCATTATGAAAATTTTCTTACACCTCCAGAAGAATGCCACCCTTCCTTTATGAACGAATTATAGCAGCTCCTCAGAGATTACTTATGTCCTCTGCAATGCTTTTCAGTATGCTCAGAGTAAATGAACACCAGATCCTCCCTAAAATTCAGTAAATTAATCTGACACAAAGTCTCATCCAGGTAGGAATTTCTTGGTTTTCCAGGCCTTGCAGGCCATGGATGCCCCATGGAAAGGCAATGCTGTACCTCACCCAGCACAATTCCAAGGACTGAGACATGAGAAACAAATCACTGCCAATTATAACACTGGACATGACACCCCTTGCTTGTCACTTTTCAGTGCCTCCCACAGCACAATGACACAAAACCCACTGGAAGCTTGCTGGACAATCAACCAGACAAGCCAGGTTTTGCTTTCCTATAGTCCTAAAAGAAATTGCCTAATTATGTATATCTATTCTGTAATTGGAAGAAAACCTTTAAAGCAGCTACAGGACAAAGAACAAGACTGAAGCTTGTTCCTTGAGGTCTGTTTTCTTTGATTCCTGCTTTGTATTAGTAGCAGGAAATCAGAAGCCAGACCACCTTCATTTCTAAAGCACAGGTTAAATTAATTATTCTTACAATGCCTTGTCTAGCCAGCAGGAATGGCTGTGACAAGCAAATCTTCATACACAGGCCCAACATTACACTGACAGCACAGCAGCTTTAGGGCCAACCTTTGGAAGCATGAAAGGTTTTCCTTCCTAAAACACATTTTAAAAAAAATAGAATTGCAACAGAATGCACTTTAATCTGCTAGAAGGAAAATACTGTTTAAAAACACAAACAAAAACATATAAATATCACCTTAAATCTGAATTCAAGTGATTCCTACAGTCCAACAGAGAATACATTTGCAACCCTTAATATTGAGCTGCAAAGCCAAGTTACATAAAAACCCTTGGTGGAATGAGTCTTCAACTACTCTCATTGAAACTTGGCCAAATGCTCCTTTAATATTTTATTTTTGCTGACACGTAAATGCTCCAACCCTGAGCAACAAATACTGTAAATGTGCAGCTTGCAGTCAATGTCAGGTAGAAAGAGGGAAGACATTTGCAGTTTAATAATAAGACATCCTGGTTTCACCGCCTATACAATTTTAAATGCTTTAGTTATGCTACTCTACTGCTATGGATTATTAATTTCTCAGCATTAATTTTCCTCTTCTTTTTGTTGCCAGTCCTAGGAACAGACTTGGTAAGAATATAAAAGAGTAGGAAACCTACTGCCAGAACAAACCTTGGGTACCCATTCCACACCAAAGAACCAGAGACAAATTATACATAAATAATAAATTTGGCTTTTAGAAGCTCTTGGAGCTTCTAAACTCCTCCAACTATTCTTGGAGGGTTGCTGGGGGAATTTCAGTCTTGGGGATTTTCTTGTCCAACTAAGGACTTACAGATCTATCAAAGAATAGTTTTCTTACCAAAGGACAGCAAAGCAATAGAATAACGTTCCAATTATATTTTGGACCTGTCTAACTTCTTAGTATTAGGATATGCAAAGGTCCTACTGAATTGTCTCTTTACTGTGAGATGCCTATCAAATTATTCCTGATGTTTACATTTTCAGCCCCTTGCATGAGACATAAGGAAGAAAATTGTTCAAAAATAGGAGTGGCAGTAAAGACCTTCCTTTACTCTTGGAGATTACTTGCATGCTCTCCGTGCTGGGTACCTGAGGCAACTATTAAGAGTGTGATCAATGGCTGTACATTACCTTGCAAGCACTTGCAGAAGGTGACTGATCAGGTAAAATGGCTCAGAGGTTTTCCTTCCTGAATGGTTAATAAAAAAAACAAGAAAAAAAAAACAAGCAAAAAACCTCAACCAACTGCCCCTGCCCTCAAATGGCAGAGTCAGCCAGTTTTAAGGAGACATTTGAACAGAATTACTATGGGTTTTTTTTATACAGCACCATGCTTTGCAAAGATCCCAGAGGGCCCTGTGAGACCTGTTTCTGAGGGAGTACAAAAACAGGATGAATGAGAAATCCAGCGATGTGACATTCTTCAGGGCAGGAAGCATTTGCACCCACTAGAGCTTTGGGGAGAATTTCTGTGTATAAAGATGTAATAAGTGAAATTGGAACTTGTCCAGCTACCAGAGATTAATACCATTAATCTTAAAAATAGTCCCTTAGCACTTTCCTTAATGAAGATAAGTTATTTGAAGTAGGTTTAAACCCAAAGATTTTGCCTAGAAATGTAGAGAGAGAAGGTACCAAGAACTGAGCAGAAGAGCTGATTCAACCCTGAAGGTGTTGAATTTATAGAATATATGATGTGTTTATCAAGAACAGTAACAAACAATCACCACCTGCAAGGGATTGAGAAGGGAAGTAATTTATCAGCAATAAAAGGCACATTAAATGAAGCCATTGTGCAGATCAAACAGGAACCTTCTGCCGTGTATTTCCTGGCTGAAGATAAGCAGGTGCTGCAGCAACCTTTCATCTGTAGCCGACTTCCAAACCATTCTGCCTGTGTGTATCCCAGGTTGTGCAGCGATTACAGCTGGCAATCCACATTGGGTGTGACACAAACCATCAGAATTTTCAGTTTAACTTGAAACTTGCATGTTTCCTCATGAATTAATGCAAGGTTCCTGTCACCTCTGGCAGTGAAGATGTTGAACGAAATAGTTTTGACAACTTCCACTGCAGCACACCAGGTCCATGGGAATCCAGTGTGGAGTGGTTAAAAATTCCCCTTTGGATGGTGAGAGAAGGCAACCCCAGAGCTACAGACCCAGCAGCCAGGGTGGCACCTGCAGGTTACCCTCCTGACCAAGTTGTTTCCCTTCCATCCCTGCAATAACCACCGGCAATATCTGGGGAGCCCGTGGGGGCATCAGGCTGATTTCCTCAGGGCTTTGGTGAGATAATTGAACACACATTGAAAGGAAGCACTGCCAAACAAAGCCCCAATCGTTCTCTGAGAGTTGTGTTTGCAGCGAAACACTCCAAGTGCTTTTAGGGAACCGCATTTGCCCAGCAATTAAGCTAATTTGAACACCTGGAAAATGCAACATTTAATTGAGCTGAGAGGGGCTGTGCTCCTTTATGCCTCAGCAGAACCCCAGGAGAGGCAGGCTCATGTGTGGCCTCATTAGCAGATTCACTGCTCCTGCCCTGTTTTATTGCTCAGCTCTTCCCATGGGAACCTCTCGCTGTTTGAGAAGCTCCAGAGAGAGTTTGGGGATTTTCAGACAAGAGCATTCCTTACCTTGGTAGCCCCTGCTCTTTGTGATGAGAAGTGGTGAGGCAAAAGTTTCTCTTTGCTACTCCAGTTGCATTCCTCTCTGTGAATTTAACATCCATTAATTACATGTTCTTCAGATAATAAGTGTTTGGGACAGACCACTGGCTTACAAGCAGTTCCCTTGGAATAGGTAAAAACAAATTTTACTTTCCTCCTGGCAATGATTCTGATTTGTATTTTCCTAATCACTGCCTGGTGCAAATTTCCTTCCAATTTTTTTCCATTCAGAATTTTAGCCAGAGGACAAATAAACTGGGGGCATTTGAAAACTGACAGCCAGATACGTA